GGGGGGGGTGGGGGGGTGAAGGAGGGGGGCGACGCTGGTAATATGGGGATTGGGTACCGAGGCGGAGAATCTTCGGGGCCCCTCTCGGCGGCGGAGTCGAGGACGACCAATTCTTCGACCGGTTTTCTGGCGGCAGGCAAGCGGTGCATGTAGCGTGAGGGTTTGGCATGTAGAACAAGTAGCGGCAGGTTTCGTGTGTGTGTGTGGTCATGGTTGTTCGCACTGACTAGGCGACCAACGAAGAGCACGTCAGTCTTCCGTGCGGCTGGTGTTGTCCACTGGCTCTTATCTGTGGCAACACCCTGGAGGTAGATCTCCGATCGTTCGTCTGACGTCACGATCTACGAGACAGTCTGAGGTGGCATCCACAGCATCAAAAAATCGCTCTGAATCTTCGTACAGCCATTGAGGTCGAGAATCTAAAAATGCTGTTTTCTCAATAAAAGAAAAATATATACAAGTATGTTGGGACTTGGAAGGAGTATTGTTTAGGTCTATCTTCTTGTTTCTGCTTGGTGTTCTTGTCTTCGTTGGTGACATCGATCGCGCTATCCGGCTGACCAATGATTTCGCACGTCAAATCTCAAGTTTGGCTGGAACCAGAAAGCATTTCTGAAGGCCATGACCTGGGACCCCGTGAGGGGGGAGAGGCTAGGGTGTTCTCCGGGTTACAAACGGAAACGATGGAATAGCAGATGAAGAGGACGCACCTGTGTGTGTTGTCTTGACGTTTATACCCCAGTTCCAGTCCCGTCCTTTCCTCAGAGCTGACGATTTTGCTGTGGTGGAGAGTAACCGTACAGCAGTTCCACGTCGTTGTGACTGCCGTCTTTGCGGTGGTTGTAGTTTTTTGTCTCGACACCTTTGTTTCTCTTGTCATTGTTGTTGTTGTATCTTCGTCTTGTTGACATCAAGTCTGCTCTCTGACACAAGCCGGTACCCTTTGTCCCCACACCGTCTGTACCACCATCACCGCCACCATGATCAGGCATCGACGCCCTTGCCGACGAAGGTGACGGCGGCCACGTGTCGCCGCCGCCGCCGCCGCCGCTGTCTCCGCCGCCGCCGCCGCCGCCACCAACACGCGAACAAAAAGAGAGAGAAGGAGAAGGAGGAGGAGTTGCAGCGGGCTCCAACGAGGGGGCTGATGGAGCGGGGGCTACGGAAACGGCGGATGGAAGTGGGCCACGTGCTGCTGCTGTTGCTGTTGCTGCTGCTTCTGCCGATGATGCCGGTGCTCCTGAGGCCGCCAGACACAGGCGTGAGATTCACAGGTGATAGCCGGGAGTGGAAGGGAGGGAGGGGGGTTGTTCTTTCAGCGAGCGGGAATTTTAAGCGGGCGGTCGGGGGGGGNGGGGGGGGGGCGTATGGACGACATGGAGGTCACCATTTCGACCGACCCCCAAAAGTCGTGAGCACTAGCACGGCGTGTTGAATGGAATCGCCCGTTCATTGTTCCGGTATGGAGGCCCCCGTCCGTTGTCTACCCGAACATCACAGACAAGACTGTTACAGGTGCAATTCTTCTTGTTTGGTTCGTTGCGGTACGCCGGGCTGTTCGAGTCAAAAACACGTCAGCTGTGTGAGCTGTTGGAGCTTGGGAACACGTCACTGATATCAGCCGGCAGCTGATCCACACGAACACATGCTTCACTTCATCATCGTGCATCACGCCTTGTTGATGACACTTCATACCTACTTCCTGCTCCGGTGAGCCAACTCCGCAGGCGCGCCTTGTAGGCCCTATTACTTCACAGTACAAGAACACCGTATATGACTCAAGATAACACACCCCCTGGACCAATTTTCAAAGCTCGATTACTCCACGACGAAGAGGATGCATAAACGAAACGATAAATCTTCGGAAAGCTCTCGACGAGACGGTTTCAGCGCCGCTGTTTTCGGCGCTGTGATTGTTCTTGCAGTTGAAAAATCGAGCTTCGAAAATCGGTCAAGGGGGTGTGTTATCTTCAGTCATATGCGGTATGACCATGTGTTGAGTCGAATCGCTAACAATCGCCCTCCCTGCCTCTTCCAACTCCTCAGGTCTGCCGAAGAGGCGGCCGCGGCTGCGGCGGCCTGGATGCCCGCACAGGTACGCCCGTCCACGGCGCCCTCGCCCCCTCCTCCTCCTCGCCCGCCAGCCGAGCCAGCAGCTAAGGCTGCCGAAGCTGACGATGCCGACGGCGACGATAAATCAGCGGTGGTTGTGCCCGCCGTGCTTGGGAGTCCCCCGCGAACGTTGCGACGCTTGGGGAGGGAGGTATCGCCGGCGGCGGCGGCGGCGGGGGCGGGGGCGGGGGCGGAGGACGGGGGGGTTCCTGCTGGAAGCGGCGTTGTTGAGGAGGCCGTGACGCGACCACCGCGGGCAGCAGCAGGAGGAGGAGGAGGGAGGGGGGAGGGCGGCGACGGTCGGCCCCCGAGCCTTGAACTGCTGGTACGGGATTTTTTTTTCAAGGCTCGTTCAATGTCGTGCTGCTGCCGCTGCGTACCACACCCCATGGGCCGGGTGGATCAACGCTCGATTCCTCTCCACAGGGCCAGTGATGAAGAATGACGAAGTCGAAAATGGCGGCGTTGGGGCAGTCGTATCGTCGAGAGCTTTCTTTTTTCCCAAGGATGACGCGTCGTTTTTGTGCACGTGATTGTATTGTCCCTCAGCAATCGAGCACTGGAAATGGGTCCAGATGGTGGGGTTTCTTCCGTCACCTACGGCATCATGTACTCGTCCCTCTGTTTCCTTTGAACATCGTTGTTTGTGAAGCATCCGAGAGCCTCGAAAGTCGATCTACAGGGAGATTGGATAATACAGGAGTACGATATCTCGCATGTTTCGTGACGTATTCGTCGGTGCCAGCACAAGCACGTTCAACCCCCATGCCCTCCTCTCCGTTTTTTTTTTCGTTTTTTTTTACTAAAAAACAACAACCGATTTCATCCTTATCCAAAGATGCGAAAGAGTCGAAGAAAAAAACTTGGAAGGGATTTATTTCCTCGTCTGAAGCTATGTCGTCTTGTTTGCTGTTGTTGTTGTTGTTGTTGTTGTTGTTGTTATCTTCACATAGGGTTAGGTTAAGGGTTAGTAAATATCTTCATGGTTGAGGGAATCATATCATGTTCATGGCATGCGGTTGTCTTTCTCGTCTTCTGTTTGCTCCGTCCAACACAGGGAGGGGTTGGGGGGGCGGGGGCGTTGTCCGAAACATTCTCGGAGCCCCCATCAGCGACCAACGAACACGACGAGGACGCGGACGTGCTGGACGATTCGGGGCTAGGGGAAGACGGCTGGGAGACGAGAAGAGGGTGTCACTCACGGAGAAACACCTTCGGGCAGGGTCCGGGAGACTTGGGGACAGGAGGCGGAGGGGAAGGGGGGGTGGGGATGCTGAGCGAGGAAGACATCTTTGCAGACGAGGTAATGTTCTGTAGGTGGTCCCGGTAGGTGTATGTGCCCGGCGACTCGACCGGCGCTGATGTCAAAAAACCGGCTCTGTGAAATGTTCGGAACGACTTGGCTATTCAGTCTGTGCCCGGCAGCTTCACCAGCGCTACAACAGGGCAGGGCCACCGGCGCCACAGCCGGTGGCGTTGTTGGTCCGTTTGGGTGTAAAGAAGGCTTATGTGTTTCTCGTTTTGCTGTCATTTGTTGGGGGGATAGCCCTTACTCCCCTTCTGCTATTTTGGCAAGTTGTGCTTTACTCGTTTGAGGTAAGGTGTCAAGACGCAGACACTTGCACATCGGTTTTCTGAATATGCTGAGTAACCATGTACTGTACAGCGACAACTCATTTCACTTCCGATTCCTAAAAAAAGCCAGAATAATAGGCTGGAACGAACGTATGTGAGGTTCGTGGTCTGCCGAGCTCGTGTGCAAAGCAGAATTCTTCTTGAATATTTGCTCTTTTTTTCACGCTTGTCACCCACTCCTCAGACAGCAGTGTCTGGCTGACCATCCTTCGGTCTTTCTTTTTGTGCCTCTACCTGAGGATCCCCGACCCAGGGGTCGACCAGACAAGAATCCAGTCTGTCGTGCCTCTCTGATGTTAGGACTCCGATCAGGGGTCACACGGACACGAATTACGGGACCGGCTATCGGTGAACCCCATCGAATCTTCCCATGCATCCGTGGTGCCATGCCCCCTCCCCCTCTCAAAGCACGCCTACATGTCTTGTGCTACACACAAGACTGAGTGGTAGACGGGAAGAGAAGATCGACCAACGCAACTATTTCTCACGCCCCCCCCCCCCCCCCCCCCCCCCCCCCCCCCCCCCCCCCCCCCCCCCCCCCCCCCCCCC